AATTAAAAGATTAATGTAAATGGATATTAAAGGTGTAATAATAACTTTGATTGGTCTCATAAATTATCATGGTTCACTTAAACACTACAAATTGTTTCATTTAATCACTTGTGTCTAGTGGAATTGGTCAGTCCAAGAGAATAACAGGAATATATAGAATTGGTCAGTCAAAGAGAATAACAGGAATATATAGAATTGGTCAGTCAAAGAGAATAACAGGAATATATTGAATTGGTCAGTCAAAGAGAATAACAGGAATATATAGAATTGGTCAGTCAAAGAGAATAGCAGGAATATATAGAATTGGTCAGTCAAAGAGAATAACAGGAATATATAGAATTGGTCAGTCAAAGAGAATAACAGGAATATATAGAATTGGTCAGTCAAAGAGAATAACAGGAATATATAGAATTGGTCAGTCAAAGAGAATAACAGGAATATATAGAATTGGTCAGTCCAAGAGAATAACAGGAATATATAGAATTGGTCAGTCCAAAAGAATAACAGGGATATATAGAATTGGTCAGTCCAAGAGAATAACAGGAATATATAGAATTGGTCAGTCCAAGAGAATAACAGGGATATATTGAATTGGTCAGTCCAAGAGAATAACAGGAATATATAGAATTGGTCAGTCCAAGAGAATAACAGGGATATATTGAATTGGTCAGTCCAAGAGAATAACAGGGATATATTGAATTGGTCAGTCCAAGAGAATAACAGGAATATATAGAATTGGTCAGTCAAAGACAATGACAGTGAACACTTGACAACATGGCATAGTACCTTTTGGGGATTCAATAATATCACAAAGATTTAGAAATAGGATTAAAACTGGTTTACTCTAACAATGAACAATTAAAAAGGTGGCATAGTGTTAATTTTAGATGCCATGTTTTTCACTCACATTGATTTAAAACAGTAGGATTATATATAATACACTATGTTATAAATGATGGAGTGAAATGTTATATTGATAAAAACAAATTCAAGAACATTTTGTCAAGATATCTCCTACAAAAAATTTATGGATCTGAAACCAGCACCCTATGTCTAGTTCTGTGACATCTTGGATACAGAAAGTGCTGAATGGAATAGTTTCTCATTTGTTGCTTTCTAATATTCTTATAGTTCTATATATTCTGTGAAAGGTGTAACATCATGTAAATACAAAGGTTAGGATTTGAGTTTGCAATAAAAATTTGAACTTTTTGATAGTGCATATTCTGATTTTGAAGTAGTGAATTGAACATTGTGACTGTGACTACAAAACCTTCAGCAACATCTTGTGGTCCTAGTATGGTCTTTTGAGTGAAGCC